TACTTAAACCCTGGACAGACAGAGATGTCTTGATGGCCATGACAGACAAAGTTCCTCTGACCAAAGTAGACAAAGTACCAGAGGTTAACATTGCTGACACTCTAGCACCTCATTAGAAAAATGAGGTCCAAGAGTTTGTTGCTAGAAATCGGGATGTATTTGCTCCAGTACCAGGAAAGACTCATGTTATTGAACATGACATAATTACCGAACCTGGAAAAAGGGTTAACTTAAAACTCTACCGAATCCCAGAGGCCAGAAAAGAAGCCCTTAAAGCAGAGGTCTGAAAGATGCTTGAGCTAGGGGTTATCGAGGAATCACAAAGTGAATGGAGTAATCCTATAGTGTTGGTACCCAAGCCAAATGGAGAAATCAGATTCTGTAATGATTTCAGAAAATTAAATGAGATCTCAAAATTTGATGCTTATCCCATGCCTAGGGTTGATGACCTAATAGAGAGATTAGGACGATCCAGATATCTGACTACATTAGATCTGACTAAAGGTTATTGGCAAGCTCCCTTAACAGAGCGGGCCAAAGAAAAAACTACTTTTTCCACACCAGAAGGTTTATTTCACTATAAAGTCTTACCTTTTGGGTTGCATGGTGCACCTGCCACCTTCCAAAAAATGATGGATAGAATCCTTAGACCCCATAGTGAATACGCGGCTGCCTACCTTGACGATGTGGTTATACACAGCACAGATTGGGAAACACACCTTCCCCGAGTTCAGGCATTACTAAAGTCTATACGAGATGCAGGTCTAACTGCCAATCCATCCAAATGTACGATAGGTTTGGAAGAGGCTAAGTATTTGGGCTACACTATTGGGAGGGGTCTCCTGAAACCACAGAAAAGTAAGGTAGATGCTATTTGGGCAATTCTAGGCTTAGTGGGCTACTACCGTAGATTCATACCTAACTTTGCTACGATAGCAAACCCGTTGACAGAGCTAACTAAGGCAAAAGGCCCTGTTATGATAAAGTGGACTCCCGAGGTAGAGAAGGCATTTAGTACCCTGTGCTGACCCAATTTTGGTTGCCCCAGATTTTACGAAAGCATTTTTGGTACAGACAGATGCGTCTGATGTGGGCCTAGGAGCGGTTCTTTTTCAAGTACACAGAGGAGAAGAACATCCCATTATGTACCTGTGCAAAAAGCTGAATCCCCATGAACAGAGATACTCAGTGGTTGAGAAAGAATGTTTGGCCATAAAATGGGCACTAGAAACACTTAAGTATTATCTATTGGGGAGAAGGTTCAAACTTGTCACAGATCATGCGCCCTTGACGTGGATGAGACAAAACAAGGAAACAAATGCCAGAGTAACTAGGTGGTTCCTTAGTCTTCAGCCATATAACTTCTCTATGGAGCATAGAGCTGGTAAAGACCAGGGGAATGTAGATGGTTTATCCAGAGTCCATTGTTTTTGGTCAAAGGTCGCTACGACCGATGGGTCTAAGCTGGCGGGGAGGATATGTGACAGTCTATGGGAGGGTAATAGAAGGAAGGTATTTAGGACCCAGAATCCTCCATAGCCTGAGCTTGTACTCATTCACCTGCCCAATTAGCAACTGCTGAGGCTTTAATTAGCAGGTCTCAGAGCAGAAAGGAGGAGATACAATCTGACCTGCAGAGAGAGCAGGTCTGTGCAGAGCAGCACCAAACAAAGTGCTAAAGGTTGGTGAAACCAATGTTTGTTTTGTTGATTTGTGTAGTTTATTACCCTGGTTTAGTAAGGGACATTACTTTATGTTTAGTTAGTGCTCGAATTTGAACTAGGATTTTGTTTGTAGACTTTCCTTTCTGTTTTGCTGAAGTTTTGAACAAACTGATTGCTGCATGGATTTTTTTTGCACGATGTAAATAAACCACACCATTTTTGCATAAGAGACTATTGTTCTATACCTGTTACCCTAGAGGACTGTGTTGCTTTGCCCATAAAGGTCACAGTGACTTACACTGGTATTTCACAAGGAACCTATTGAGATCATTCCAAAAAAACGATTTTACATGAAAAAGATGTGATTGGACTATTTCAAATCCTAATAATGCACTCAACAATGATGGCAAAGCATGCTGAAAACAGAAAAAGATGGGACAGATGCTTGTGAAAGACTTTGGATGCACCTATGAAGGTGATTAAGAAAATACTTTGCAATATAGTTTATCATTGAATGACTACCGCAAACAGCCTCTTATGCTGAAAAGAAGTGCTATGCTAATTCTGGACATTGCTATTATGTTTCCAGACAGAAGATGACCGGAAAAAGAAATAAAGGCTAATAACTGTCAACACCCAGCTGTTTCTCAAGATGGAACATGGTACTGAGGAAACCTGATTGACTATCAAAGCACCTCACAGTACAAGACACAGATTGTTGCCTACAATTCAGAAAAAGTGGTTAATAGGAAGGAGCAGAAGAGGAATATAGATTTCCTACTGGAGTGAAAAACCATCCTGGAACAATATTCTGTAACAATGAACTTTACAATGACATTTGGTGGCATATGAATTTGGAAGAAACACATCAATAAACGAAAGAAGCCTTGATGCAATTAATAAATAATAACAAGACTGGCCTACTAAGAGCAGATGCCCTGCCAAGAGAATGGAATATAAAAGGCCTGCAAAACCTGTCAGAAACCTGACCTCATGGGACACTTGTACTAAAGCACGATTTGCACCTTTTCTTAAACTCTACATGTTATGTAGAGGAACTCCTGTAAACATAAACACAGAGACATTGATACAACAAGGAATCTGTAATGGTTCTGTTGCAGATGTGATCTACCGATGTACTCCTTGCTCTTTTGGTATAACTATACCAATGAAAAATGTTAATTGGCTCCATAGAATCAAACGACAAAGGATTCTTGCTATATTCTGGACTTCCAGGAATGTGGTGCATGGACAGAAAAATTATAATTACTAAAGCAATCATATTTTTTTTTTTTTTTCTGTATCAGAAATGTGTCAGTGTCAATGTGTAACATAATACAGATACTATAATTAATGGTATAAGAAACACATAATGTGTTAATTACAAAGGTGGATAGACTTTGTGAATATCTGAAACGCAATTGAAGATTATTGCTTAAATGCCATATGCAGCTGCAGTCTGGCCTACAAACAAATATATTAGACATACGTAGAAGAGTATAACAGCTGATTACCCAGATGAATAATTGAATCATGATCGTTAAAGATCATATGATTACAATAACTGCAATAATTAATAATTTTTAAACTTTAGAAGAAAATGTAAAATGTTTTTATTAAATCAGAAACTGCTTGATATTCGTTTAGGTTTGCAGAGTGGTATAATTAATATAATCTAATTAATATAAGCGAAGTACTCCAACAGTTAAAATTTAACTGTAATACAGGCAGAAACTTTACTTCACTTACCACAAACCTATATTTACAATGAAAAACATGTTCAGTCTGCCAGAGCTAAGGCCAGTCAATGGAAAGTAAGAGAGTAATATGGATTAACCCGTCCAGGTGATATACATGATGATTTTGGAAATTGATCATTTAGGTCACCTATTGCAAACTGGTGAAAAGATGTCAAAGATATAAATTCAACATCCATACCACTCTATGTATGTGTGTATATATTAAAATACACATAATCAAATATTTTATCTGTTTTTCAAATACCAAGAAAATGTTATTTGGTTTGTGATGATTAAAGGTACATATACCTCGTGGCAATGATCCTGCCACATCTATTGATTGTTGAATCAATACATCATGCATATGATTATTAATTCATATTCTGATTGTAACATACCCCCACATCAACCAGTTATAGTTACGACAAATTCTGATATCTATTGTTATGGAAGTGTTAAAACCACCTGTACAAAGTTAGAGCTAAAATATAAATACTTTCAATATTGTATCTGAGTGCTTTCTTAACTCACTTTTAGAAATAATAAAAAATACAAATCTTAAGCTACACCCAACAGCCGCTGGTAAATATACTTAAACAATTAAGATTCTCATTGTTAAGCATCCAATCTCACGAACGTAACTTTCCACAATGGCTGTCAGATCTTGGTAAAAAAAATGTTTTTAAGACAGTTTTTGGGTGTTTCTGGTATTTTAAGCCACTAATAACTATAGTTATATTTACTAATTGTAACTTAGGGAATAAGTTGTCTTCTACCTAATAGGGCAAAGAAAGATGAATAAGGTCATGTTTCCAATTAGCAACTATTCTAAATATATTGAGAGATTTTGAATAAGGGAGTATTTTTAACATTTAAAGAGAATGTAGTTTTACATATAATTGTGAACAAAGGCGGTAAATACTTTGCTGCTTCAAATTATCCTTATATATCTAAATCATATACAAGGGTTTTTATCTTTAAAACAAAACAAACCACTAGAAAGATTAACTATGTTACTATTTCATCTATCATTATTATACAAAGTATAACAAATGTAAAGATTTTTCCACAGATTTTACCTGTTAACATTATTAGCACAACAGCACCTGATGTCAGTGAGATGTCTATCACTGAGATGTTACAAAGATTCCAATACAGCAAAAAGAGGAGTTCTTGAGAACCCACTTCGATTGCTGTATCAACATAACCTTTACTATCATGGGATCCATGTCACTTAAGACAATGTCTTGGAAATGCTGTCAATTAATTTATTCCGTAAAAGAATATCGGAGAGTATCTAATATATACACATCATAAACGGTGAAAAAAATGTTTCATGGAAAAAACAAAATAAAAAAAGCAAAGACAAATACCAACGCCATCACCACGGTGATAACAGATGATGCTGATTCAATATCTGCAACCAATTCTAGCCAAATATTTTGGAAAGCTGGACTCTACAACCTATACTCTACAACAAATACCCAGGCATTCTACAAATACAACCTCCAGCAATGTATCTAAGGAATGTGAACCTCTACAGGCCTTTAAAGACTTTGGATTACAAATACAATTACTACTTTTAACTTTGGATTACAATTCATATCCGGATCTATCCAAGAATAACTTACTCTGGAACCTGGTGTTCTTTTCAGTTCTTTCCCAGACAAAAGCTTTGCTCATTTTAATCAACCACCTTTACAGGCAAAGATCACACTATGGATATTTTACTGTTACAACAATGATCAAAGATGCTGGGAGCACAAAAAAAACAAGACTGTTGGAGAACTTTGGTTCACTAATTTAAGGAAGAAATGCTTTACAATGCCCACAGTTTAATGGAGAGGGTGTTATGGGCAAATGCAAATATTACAAGTTTTAGAATGAAATGTTGTATGTCTTAAACTGTGTACTTTGTCTTTAAGAGATATTGCAAACTGACAAGATGTTAGAAATGGAACATATTGTTTTTCATAACTGTTTCTTTAAGCAATAACCTCAGTGCATAATATGTTTGTGCCATTTTGTCTCAGACAAATTACGAAGACAATAATGCATAAACAAGCTTCAAGGCTATGCTACGACTCTTTCAGTACGTAATATACTGTGGTAACCCTAAGTAGATAAGGATGTTCAGACTTTAAGATGCCATCTTGAATTAAGTCAGGAAAATTTCCATGATGTATACACCCTTTAGTTATGGCCTTGTATTTTTGCCAAGGTAAGGGAGGTCCTAAAATGCAAAAATGAAAAAAGTTACTTTTTCATATATGAACTACGGTAACCCTAAAATGGAGACACCTAAGGTATAAATAGGTGTACTTTTAAATGTTAAGACACAGAGGAGAGACTTGGAGACAGATACTGCTCCATCTTAAAATGACATAGAGGCTGACATGATGACATGTTCAGAAGGGTATGTTAACCTAGTAATGATATTTGCGAGCATTTAGTTTAATCTTATAAACTCTGCTATAATGGATTTTATGTCTATATTTATATTTTTATATAATATCTAAAAAGACAAAACTCTATTGCTTACAAGACAATCCTTATTTTATATTGTATTCTCAATTATTTATATATGTTAAATAGAGGATCTCTTACACTAACTATAAAAAATTATGGCTAAGATATCTGTATGGTTAGCCCTACTAAGTTCTATGCTTTAAGACATTATAGTGGTAAATAAGGGAACCAGCCGCGGTTACAGTATAGGTGTGGGGGCCACTGCAAAATCTGCTGTTTTGTGATGAAAGATACTGTCTTTTGCTCAACTTCCAAAAGTAAAGTCTATAATATTTTTTTATTAACTGTAGAACCAAAAAAATGTGACATCATGCTAAATACAGTATGTGAGTAAAACCACCAGAGAACTAAGATACATAATTTGAGTGTCAAGCATACAAGCCCCAAATAAAGCAGAGTATTAAATAAAGACTAACCGAAATATTAGTCTTAAGAGGTAGCCGGCTTCAAGTAAGACAGAGTAATAGAATATACGTTACACAAGCCAAATTCAGGACACCAGAGATCAGATAATAAAGTAAACAGAGCCTGGTCAAATAACCCGGAATTCAAAGTAGTCAATAGGAAAGCCGGGTCAAGAACATAGAAAATCTGAAATATTTAGCCGTGTATACCCTCATTTCCCCTGATAGCTTTCAAAAAGGTTTCCATGGCCAAGATCAGAAATACTTAGAAAGCCTTATCTGATCAATGAGAAACTAAAACAGGACACTTGGAAACACTCTTATATTTAACATAGTGGGGGAGGGGAGTGGGGCATTCTTATAATAACCACGCCCCCAAAACATAGGTAGGATTAACCCCTTCAGGACCTAGGACGGTTCAGGACCGTCCGCGGCATTTTTGCGTTGCCGACCGAGGACTGTCCTGAACCGTCCTAACTGAAAACGGGCGGCGGGAGCGATCGGAGATCACTTCCTCCGAAATCCCGTTGTAACTATCTGCCCGGCATCCCAGACAGATAGTAACAGACAATTGCGGCATGTGAGCGATCCGCGATCGCTCACAATTGGCTGGTGTCAAAGTGGGTGTTACAAACACTCTCTTTGACACTGATCTCTGCCTCTCTCCCTTCTGTAGCGTTTTGTGAGGCGAGAGAGACAGAGATCGTGATATATTGTTGCAGCAGGTGTTCCAGAGAGTATAAAAAGTATCACCAGTGAATAAAAATCCCCTTTTAACCCCTTCCCTGTCAGATCTGTTACAGACAGTGCATTTGTACTGTCTGTATTTTTTATTTTTTTTGCCATTAAGGGTTAACTTTTTTAAAAAATGTGTGTCTTAGACTGTCGTAGTCTATCGTAGTCAGTCAGTTTCCTTCCCCCAAATCTCCATTAGTTTCTTCTAACAGGAGTTAGTTTAGGGATTACTGTTTTAGTCTGTTTTAGTAAAAAATAAATAAATTTGTGTTTACTATTTTGTTAGTTTAGTCTGTTAGTGTGAAACATGCAGCGCATGTACAGCTTGGAGGAAGCATATGCCTTCTTGGCGTCAGACTGACGCCACTGACACTGCGTCTGATTTTGACCCAGATCAGTTTAGCGGCATGTCTAGTGACATGTCATCTGTGTGTGAGCCAGCTGCTAGAAGCTGTGCTTCCCCTGCTACGCCGAATGTGGAGGAGGACTGGGTACCTCCACAGTCAGCTGAGCCCAACACCCCTCCTTTTAGTGCCAACGCAGACATTAATGTGAATGTGGTTGACTTCTCCCCTATACAATATATGGAGTTATTTTTAGGGGATACCATCTGGGAGGAGATTGTTTCTCAGACTAATTTATACGCTAGCCAATTTATTGAGACCAATCCAGGTAGCTATACAGTCAGGGAGCATGCTTGGCATCCCACAGATGTCCCTGAACTTAAAAAAATTCTGGGCTCTTACAATGCTCATAGGGATAATAAAGAAGCCATCAATCCGCTCTTACTGGAGCACCAACCCAATTTGTTTGACTCCTATATACTCCCAAACAATGCCTAGACCAAGATGAGCTGCCGCTGAGATACTTATTTCAATGATAATACCCTCTGTCACCCCAGAGATCACCCCCAATATGCTTCATAACTAAGGTCACTGGTAGACCATCTTCAGAACAGATTTTCTGAAGTTTAAACTCCCCAACAAAATTTATCTATTGATGAATCCCTTATGAAATATAAAGGGAGATTAGGTTTTAAACAGTGTATCCCATCAAAGTGGTCTAGGTATGGCATTAAAGTGTACAAACTGTGTGAGAGCAAAAATGGCTATACATTTGCCTTTTGTGTATATGAGGGGAAAGATGGTCAACTGGACCCTCCTGGGAAACTTGTTTGGGACCTACTGATCCCCTTGTTCAATAAGGGTTACCACCTTTATGTGGACAATCTTTTCAACAGTGTCCACTTGTTTAAAATTCTTTATCATTTGCAGACACTGGCCTGCGGCACTGTAAGAAGAAATGCCAAGGATTTCCCCAGACCTCTGAGGCCAAGTTAAAAAAAGGTGAATGCAAAGCTCTGCGCAAAGCTGAACTGCTTGCGCTAAAATTTAAGGACAGGAAGGATGCTCACATGCTAACAACCATCCATAACGAAGGCATGTCAGACGTCACTGTCCGAGGCAGGGTACAGGCAAAACCTGTTTGCGTCAGGGCTTATAACAGGCACATGGGGTGGGAGGTTGATTTGGCTGATCATCTTTAAAAAAATGAATCCAGGAAGAACCACCTTTCTCCAATTTCAGCTCAAGCTGATTTCCACAATAATTTATGGAGATGGTCAAGTTCCAACAACGGTGCAAGAGGAGTCCAGACATTTTATTTTTAAGATACCGCCAACACCAAAAAAAAGAAATCCCCAGAAACGTTGCCAGGTCTGTTATAAAAAAAAGGGGTAAAGGACAGACACTCCTTTTCACTGTCCCGATTGCCCTACAAAACCTGGACTGTGTATTGGATCATGTTTTAAGGTCTACCACACAGAAAATACATTTTTATAATACTTTGTTCCTGATTTATTTTTTTGTTTTTTTTTGAAAGCAGCTAATTTCTGTTAGTTAGTATCCTTCTCCCAAATCTCCAATTAGATTCTTTTTGCAGGAGTTAGTTTACAGATTGCTGCTAACGGAAGTTTTAGTCTCATTTAGTCTGTTTTTATCAGTTTTAGTCTGTTTTTAGTATAAAAAAAATGTAAGTAATTCTGTGTTAGTCAGACTCTGATGCCACTGACACTGCGTCCGATTTTGACCCAGGTCAGTTTTCTAACACATCTAGTGACATGTCATCTGTGTGTGAGCCAGCTGCAAAAAGAAACTGTGCTTTCTCTGCTACGCCAAATGTGGAGGAGGAACAGGTTTCTCCACAGTTAGCTGAGCCCAAAATTCCCCCTTTTAGTGCCAACACAGGCATTAATGTCAATGTGGATGACTTCTCCCCTATGCAATATATGGAGCTATTTTTAGGGGATACCATCTGGAAGGAGATTGCTCCCCAGACTAATTTATATGCTACCCAATTTATTGATACCAATTCAGATAGCTATGCATTCAGGGAGGAGCATGCTTGGCATTCCACAGATGTCCTGAACTTAAAAAATTCTGGGCTCTTACAATTCTCATGGGAATTATAAAGAAGCCATCAATTCGCTCTTACTGGAGCACCAACTCTGTTCTAGTCCAGTGTACTCCCAAACCATGTCTAGAACAAGATATGAGCTGCTGCTGAGATACTTACATTTAGATGACAATACCCTCTGTCACCCCAGAGATCAAACCCAATATGATAGGCTTCATAAAATACGCCCACTGGTAGACCATCTTCAGCACAAATTTACTGAAGTTTATACTCCTCAAAAAAATGTATCTATTGATGAATCGTTAATGAAATATAAAGGGAGATTAGGATTCAAACAATACATCCCCTCAAAGCGCTTTAGGTATGGCGTAAAATTCTACAAACTGTGCAAGAGCGAAAGTGGCTATACATTTGCCTTTCGTGTATATGAGGGGAAAGATGGTCAACTGGACCCTCCTGGCTGTCCTGACTCTCTGGGGACAGGCGGGAAACTTGTTTGGGACCTACTGATCCCCTTGTTCAATAAAGGTTACCACCTTTTATGTGGACAATTTTTTTATAGCATTGTCTGTTTCAAACTCTTTAGGGTTTCTAGATTCTGGCATGTGGCACTGTGAGAAGAAATGCCAAGGATTTCCCCAGACCTTTTATAGAGGCCAAATTAAAAAAAAAAGTGAATGTAAAGGTGTGCACAAAGCTAAAGTGCTTGCAATAAAATTTAAGGACAGGAAGGATGTTAATATACTAACCACCATCCATGACGAAAGCATGTCA